ACCTCCCGGGAAGAACCCCAGGCTCAAGATGATGGTGAGGAGGAGGGGCTGCTGATGCATAGTAGGGAAGAGCTGGAGCTCAGCCAGGACACAGATGCAGAGGATGGGGCCCGCAGTAAGCAGCCTGGCAGGAGCACTGGCCACCAAAGGGAAAAAGGACATCATTGTCTAAGGTAGGCACCCATCCCCTGGATGCCAACTTGTAGCAAGTACCAAAGGAAGACTGGCAGCAGGCACTCCTGGCCCCCAGGCCTCCCAGGCCGGAGCCACGTCTTCTGCAGGTGGAGTTATTGGCTACCTTTCCCCCATGCACCCTCCCTGTCTGCACTGTCCAGCCCAGGGGGCAGAGCACAGGGGGTCCCTCACATTCTGCCTCCCCTCCCCCGGACGTTCCTAGGCTCGGGGGTTTTCTATAGGCTTGGGAGGGTAGTAAAGGATGGGGACCTTGACAATAAGGAGACTGGATCCAGCCAGCTTGGAAAAAAAAGAAGTGGTCTCATGCATTGCTAGTCTACTTGTGTGGCTTTTCTCTCTTCTTGCACATAGTGTTAGCTGCGGCTTCCAGGGCTGAAAGGAGTTGATGTGGATGGGTATCCTTGCTTTCTTCTGAATCTTACAATTTTCACCACTAAACATGGTGCCTCTGAGTCTTTATGGATTATCTCAAATTCATACATTCAAATAGCAGAATGAAGAAATAAAAAAAAATTGGAGGCTGTTATAAATATCCCTGCTGTAGATATTTTGGAATATTCCTTTAGGTACAGTGTGTGTGCCTATAAGTTTTGTAATTTCACCTTGCAGTGACATATCTGGGTCCCAGGGTAGGTGCATGCTGAGCATAGTAAGACATTCCTAGCGGAAGACCTGAGATCCGTTTCTGCGACTGCACTGTTAATTGAATCAGTTGCTAAGTGAAGAACTGTCTATAGCACATAAATTACAATATTCAGAACAAGGGTGGTCAAAGGTGAGTCCAGCCTGCTGACTTTGCTTTTGCTTTCTTAACTCTTACGTGTAGTACTGTAATATCTAACAGAGCGTAAAACTACAGTACTGTGCTGGGCAGCACAGCCAGCAAAAATGACCATGCTGCATAAACAGGATGCAAAGACAAGGGGCTCTGGAAGCAAGTGTGTAGACCTGTACAAAAGAGAGGCAGGACATGAGTCCATGCAGCCCTGGAGAGGTGAGCCATTAAATGAGCGATCTCTGTGCTCCCCAAGTGGGCTCACGCCTCCGCTGGCAGGTAGGGCAGTTCGAGGTGTGAGGTATGAGCTAGCCACGATTTGTTACATGGTCGGGGCTTCAGTGAGGCCGATGCAGGGAAGCCACGCTTTGGGCCTAATGAACTGGGAATTCAAAAAGAAAAAGCAAAGGTTGTCTTTTATCACACACAGCTTGAGGAGCCCCAGTGTCCAGGAGTGTCCTCTGTTTTCCTTCGTTGCTGACATTCAGAGCACTTCCACCTTTGTGGAGGGCTGCAGGGGTCTGGCACCAGGACCTGTATTTTGCTAGTGACTGCGGAGGCTGGGCACCTTAGCCCACATGCATCCACCATCTGAATGGCCGTCTGGGTGGAGAAGGTTGAACGTTTTCAACGTGGGCATTTTGTGTTTTCCTAGAATATTTACTTTGGACCTGTTCTTCTTTACAAGCTAAGGTGTGCAATGCAGGGGTGTGTGTGTGTGTGTGTGTGTGTGTGTGTGTGTGTGCACGTGTGTGTGAGCTTGGCACAGAGCCCAAAGCCTTAAGCCTGCTAGGCAAGTGCTCTACCACTGAGCTACTCTCCCAGGGCCAGACAATTTCTTTTTCTCTTTGTGCTTCCCCGTGCTACGGCCAGACAGGAGCATGTGCTGCGAAGCCAGGCCAAGCCGCAGGCAAACACTCAGCCCTCCTTGGATTGATGACCTACTCTCTGGGCCTTCATGTCCTCCTGACAAAGTGGGAAAAAAAGAGTGATGCCTGTTGAGGCTGCATGAGGGTGATGTGACAGCCCGTGGGTGGGCCAGCGACGTGGCTGGCTGGGGAGGCTCACATTCAGCTGTGCTCCCGCTGGGATTACAAAGCCTCCTGGACCACACCAGACTTCATAAAGTGCTGCAACTCCCGGGGTGTAGTCCGCAGTGTTCCACCAAAGAGCTTGGGCCATGAGCTGGATATGTGAAAAGGGAAAGGGACAAGGGCCATCCTGGGTCCTTCTGGGGTGCTGTTCATACACACTCTCACCTTGTCCTAGTAGACACCCAGTGAGAATGGGAGGAAGACAGCAAGCAAATGCTCAGAAGAGCCGAGCTGTCTGAGAAGCGCCAAATGCAAGCGAGGCTCCAGGCCGGGTTTGCCTGCATAGAGCCCCAGGCCGTGAGCCCTGTCCCTCAGCATAGGGCCCCTGCCTCACGTCTTGGCCACTTCCCCAGAAGGGGCTGGGGGTTGCCATCATTCAGGGACACCTGAGGTCCAGCTGTGGGGACTCCTGGCATCCTGTGCAACTGGCCCACAAGGCTTCCTCCCAGGACTGGACCTCTGGGACCAGGTGCTTTCCTGTCCCCAGGCCAGCACACAGCCAAGCGTCCTGGAGCCACACCGAGTTACCAGCAGCTGTATTCTGGGTCCTGCTGCCTGCAGGAGGAGCCATACATGAGTACCAGGGGTACTAGGTGGGTGCATGGGCCCGGAGGAAAGCGGCCAGAAGTCTCCTCACACCGTCCCATAGGGCACACAGGGCCAGTGCATCTGGGAACTGGACATTCTGAGTGGGCTGAGACCCAGCTCTGGGGACAGGTCCTGTTCTGCCTTCTCAGGGTCCTGGTGTGACCCAGACATCTTCCCATCAACACTAGACAGTACGCACCTGGATCTCAGCAGTGACAAAGCTTTACGGATGCAGTGCTGCCAGCAGCGGGGACACACTGCGAAAGGTTCAAGGAAGCATCTAGGTCCTCAGACAGTGGGAACTTGTTTGTGCACAGGGAGCGTTCTGCTCATTTGCTTGTTTCTTTCCCAGTGTTGGTTCCTGGTTGTGGGGAGGCCCCAGGAGCTAGCAGACCCACAGGGCTCCAGGGCAGGGCCCCCAGCCATCCCCTTGGGAGCAGACCCACGCCAGGGGTCCTGACCCAGCCAGTGGGTCTGTTTTCCACAACATCCCTGTAACCTATTTTGGAAGGAAGGGAGTGGAGTGCAGTCAGCTGGAGCAGGATGACCCTGAGAGAGAATCCTGAGGGGGGTGCGGCTGGGATGGGAGCCCTGCTCGGGCTGGGGCAGGGAAGGGCAGAGCCAGGCCTGGAAGCCTGGGCTAGGGTTAGGACTTGGATGCCAGCTGAGGCCAGGTGCTGGTGTAGGCAGGGCCAGGGCTGGGGGTTGCAGGTCGGGTGCAGACCAGGGCTGGGAGCTGGATGCAGGGAGATCCCAGGTACAGCAAAGGCCCCGGTGCAGAGCAGGTGGGGCAAGGGCTCTGTGAGGAGGCTACCAAGGGTTTTATGACCCCCCACAAGGGCAGGCTGCAGAAACCAGTGAATGAAATGAGTTAGACTACGTGGGGGTTTCCTTTCCTCCACATGAGCAACTGCAGCCCATCATAGCTTTCTCGTGGATATAGCTTGTAGGGGTTGTGCACTTCTTTCAGACCCCCAGGTGTTCTGACCTTGCAAAAAGGGACGGGAGCCCGCAACAGGCGGCCAGACCCAGGCAGGTTCTGCGCAGAGCTCGCTGCTCTGGCCAGCCTCAGACTCCTGGTCCCCGGGAAACAAACTCCAGCAAGCCCTCAGGTGTGGGCCCTGCTGGGCACAGCGAGCAGCGGAGGCCCTCAGTGCCAGGAGCTTGCGGGGCTGGCCCGGCTGGTGACCTCTCCGGCGGCCTTTCACTTCCGCCTGGGTCTGAAGAAAAACACAAAGCTTTTATGAAACAAAATATTTCTTTTAACAAAGACTTTTCCCCATCCCAAGCGTTCCAGCCACCGCAGGCCGTGACCTCCCACACGCCTGATTCGTCGCGTAGCCGTCAGCTGTCGCTGTAATAAAGGAATCGCAAAAAGTTTTAGCTCTGGAGAAAGTGCGCGCGCAGGCAGTGCCTCCCTCCACGCACTGCGCTTGAAATGTCCTGCCATCAGGAAGGCCCGGCAGCAAAGGGAAGAGTGGCGTTTGCTAGGGCTGGGGTCAACGGCTGGGGCTGCAAAGGGACCGTTTGGGTCACGTTTCATGATTTTCCTAGGTGGAACAATAGGGATGAATATTACACGTGCACTTTAAAGTGGAATTCCCTGTTCAACAGACCTTCGGCAAGATGCTTCCAGATGAGCACGCGGATTTTAATAATAAGTAAATAAACAAAATAGTTTGCCAAACTCACCCCAGAGAGCATCATCTGAGATACACTTGGCCCTGAGTACATCTACCAGCAGCATTTGAAAGATTCTCAAGACCTTTATTTGCAAGTAAAAGTCTTCAAATAAAATCTACTAGCTTCTATTATAAGATGATCTCCCCGTTTGTGGGTCAGGCGCAGCGCAGATTAATTGCTCATACCGAGACAGGCACTTCTGTTTTGCAGGAATTAGGAAAGAAAACGCAGGTTTAAGAAATCCACTCTGCAGTTCAGAAGTTCAGGGTGATTTGTCTTGGGAGCAAAGTCTTTCCCGGAGCGAGACCCGTTCAAAGGAACTCCTGGTGTTAATGGGATTACTAAAGATATACCTGAGACCAGATAAATATTTGATGAGTTTGCAAAGCCCTGGGCCTTCTTGTAGTTTTTCTTCTGCTGACATTTCCCCCCCCATGGGGTCTAGACCTCGTGGTTTTCATTAGACTGCACAAACCAAGGGAGGCTGGGGTTTCCCTGGAGCGCGCCGCGCTGGACTTCGGGTTGGCCAGGGAGCGCGCGCGCGCCCCCGTCTGTGCGTGGGGGAAGGGCGGCGCCGGGGAGGAGAGACAAGACGGTGGCGAGGCTGCCACCTAGCGGCGACTTCCTGCAGTGTATATAACGCGCGTCCGCCGCCCAGGAGCTCAGTCGCTCCGAACCGTGCTGGGCTAAGGGCGCGACCGCGCCGCTGGGAAGGCGAGCTGCACCGTGGTACGCCGAGGTGAGGGAGCGGGGCTCCGACTGCAGGGGCCGGGCGGGGGAGGGCCAGGGCGGCGGGCCGAGGGCTCTGCGCGAGCGCTCGTGAGCGCGCAGCTTTGCGTGAGAGAGCTGCGGGGTGCATCGCCCCGCGCCGCTGGGCGCTTCTGCAGATTCCCTTTGGGGCTTCACCGAAGCTCGCTGCACAGAGCCTACTTTTCCCGTCATTCACGGAGGGCAGTTTTTCCGCGGCCTGTTGGATGTAGAAGTCTGGGGTGTGTGAACGGCTCCGGGGACCCGGGCTGCCTGAACGTAGGGCAACTTTGCAGGAACTCGCGGCCCGTCTGTCCTGCTTGTCCGAAGCTGGCGCAGCGATGCGCTGGGCGCTGCTGTTTACCTGCGCCGCTTTTGCATGTTATTTGTGAAATTAGTAGAATTGATCGTAAATGCCAAACTCCAGAAGCATCTTTAAGCGAATTAAAAAACCAAAATGAGCCGCTTTTTTTTTCCTTCAACGCAGAATGTATTTGCAATCAGCGCTTTGGGGGATCACCAGAGCCGGCCGGGAAGCCGTAATTGCGAATGTTAAGTGCAGCCCCAGCTTTCTGGCCCCTGATGGCATCTGGGCAATCTAATTTGAGTATTTATTGTTCTCTTCGAAAATCTTAGGTCCTGCTTCCGTTGGTGGGGGAAAAAGCGCACTAATATTGTGGAATTTGAGTATACTTAAGTGCACTGTTAGGTAGGATGAGACTTGTGCTCAGTTTGGTTAGCACGCAGGAAGATTCAAAGGGTGACGGGGAGCAGGAGTGAGGTTGGGGGAGGTGGGTTGCCAAGACTTGCAACTTCAGGGAGAATGAGAAGCTGTAAAAGTCAGACTGGCTGGCTCTGTCTCTCTCTCCTTGGTCCTTCCCTGTCTCTCTTCTTTTTTCTTTTCTCTTCTCTTCTTTCGGCTCACAACAGGATTAATTAGTTTTCCCGAAATAGGAGTTAATCTCCTCCTGGCGTGGTTTACAGCCCTTTGAAGGTGGCTGGGGCTGTGTCATCCTCTGAAACTTCAGTCTGTAGAGCTGCGGGGTGGTGACTTTCTTTTCTCTGAAAACACAGACGCAGCCTTTGTGTCCCTTTATTTAGTCCAGGGAAATGTGGAGCACGTCTAGAGAGGCAAGCGCGCTGCCGCTTTCTGCGCTGGCTCTCTGAGGGTCGTAGGTGGACGGGCGAGCGGTGGTCTTTCGCCCCTGGAGCGTGAGCTCTGCCCGGACGCGCCCGCGCACTTGTGGGCTTGGCTCCCGGAGGGTGGCTCTGTTCGATCTGTGCCATAAAGACGTGAATGCGTGGCTGAGGCGACCCGGAGTGGCAGGCGGGGAGGCAGGACCTGGCATACGTGGACCCTGCGGGTGCGGGGGGTTTTGCTGCCCACCAGATTTTTTTTTCCCTAAGGGAGCAAATATCGTGGCCATCTTTTTTTTTGCCATCATTTTTTTTTTTAAAGTTCCAAGAACTTTAAGCATGTGCTGAACTGAGTGAGGGCTTTGGAGGTGAGTTTGTCTCATATGAACAGCCAGTCCTTGGAGAGTTGAGAAGGTATTGTGATTGCTAATCAGGCCCAGAGTAGGCCAAGTACAGGCCTTCTGGATGAAAGGAACACACACACACACACACACACACACACACACACACTCACCTACTTAATTAGAACAGTGGCTTTTTGTGTGATTGGTTTGCGCAGAGAGTTCCTGTTTTGAAGTCGATGTGAAAGAAGTTGGTGGAAGCTCCTCAGACTGGAGCTCCTTGGCCGGCACTCTGCAAAAGTGAGGAGAAGGGAGGAGGCCCGGAGGACTTCAGAGCCTCAGATTTTTAGCAGAGATTTTATAGAACACGAATGGAATTTGGGGCCCGAAGGCATTTGTGCTTTCAAATGAGGCATCTGACGAATTTAGTTTTACTCTCAAGCACAGGGACAGCATCAAGAGGCCTTCTGATTGGATTGAGTGTGTATAGGTCTAATTCAAAGGAAGCTAAAGATTGTCTCAAGACAGGTGCTTGAAAAGCCCTCAAAAGAAAAGCGCAGCACTGGCACCTATTCTAATGGACAGCCCGGAGAAAGAAGGAGAGACAGGTCAGGACCGGGAGGTGTGTCCCTGATTTGGAATGCTTCTTGCTTTTCTGCAGGGAATATTTGATGCTTTTGTTACTGCTACTGATTTGGAATGGAAAAAAAAAGGAAAAAGACACTGAAACCAGCTACTGTCACTTGGTTACCAAAGTCGTCCAGGGGTTGCCTAATTTAGCAGAGACAGTTCTTCAGGGCCACAGGAGGCTTGGAAGTGCTGTGTTCTGTTACACAGAGGGTGCATGGGACTGAATCTGTCTTAGACGGCCTTGGACCACTGTTGGACGAAGGGATGATAAGATGCCCTGGGCAGGGTGGGAGATGGTGGTTTGAAGGCTGTGTCAGCCAGACAGCTTTGCTTCTTCGTCTTCTTGTCCGTTCAGCTCCGAGGATGTCACCCCTCAGCCTCATGGGAGGGCCCTGAGCTTTGCAGCCTGGCGTGGGAACCCTGCTGGGCCGCACTGTGCACCAGAGTGAAGAGCTCCCCTCGCTGGCCGGCTGGCTTTCCCCTGCCCATCCTGCTCCGAAGCTGGGTGGCAACTGGGACCAAGCTCTGATTCGCCAGGCCACCCTGGATAGCCGCCTTTGTGGTGTGGAGCCTGGATCCGCTCTGCTGGGCTCAGCCTGAGCATAATGGGCCAGATCAGGTTTCTGCTGTGCATTCTCTGTCGCCTGCTGTGTCCTGGGACCATGGGAATAGGTGGCCTCGTTCAGAATCGGAGTGTGGACTGTGCTCTGTATGTGTACTTACGATTCTTTAAGTTTTCACATAATTCAAAAGTGTCCCTAACATGCATAAAATAAGATGGTATCATTTTCCTTTCTCCCAGCACTAGGGCAGTGGTTTGCCACTCCACTAGCCTGACAGTGGCTCTGGAGAACCGGCCTAGTGGGTGCACAGCATATGTCCCTGGGCTTCGCACCCAGGCTGGCTGGGTGGGGTTGGAGCAAACTGAATGCAGGAAGTATTTAAACAACAACAAACAAACAACGAAAACTTTCACAATACGAAGTTGCTTACAGTTCTTTAGAGGTGGACAGATTGTCCTGTCTAGTTGTCCAAAAGGAGCCAGAGCCTGGCGCTGCTAGCCAAGATCCCTGAAGAAGCTGACGGTGCAGAGAGCTCTGTCCACAGCCTCTGAGCCCCACCTGCCCTGACTGCTTGCCAGGCATGCAGCGGTGCGCGTGGTGGAGCAAGGTGGGCAGTGTGGCCTTGGGAAAGCCCTGAGTCTTTCCAGGAAGTTCCCTTGTGGGACACAGGTCACAGGTAGCAGAAGCTGCTGCAGGAAACCAGGACCAGACAGGCAGCAGGGCCAGCAGCCCCTGGCTCCAGAGCTGGTCCCAGCACCCTAGGCCTGGCCGATCATCTTATCTGAGTTTTGGAGCAGCAGCCAGGCCCTCCCCCAGGGGTCTACAACAGCAGCTCCACACCAGCCCTGAGCCACAGCCACAGTCCACCTCCATGGCTCCTGCACAGACAGGCCAAGCTGAGGGGCTCTCCTCTAGGGGAGCACCATCCTGGAACATTCCCAGACATCCCCTTCTCCTGGAAGGTCCCCTGGGCCACTGCAGTGGAAGCTACTCCCTCCACCACCTTCAGGGCCTGGCAGGGTGACAGGTCTTCTGTGCCTGACTGTCTAGCCTGATGGCTGCTACTGGGCATAGGAGCTGGGCCTGCATGGTCATCCTCACCTGCCCCAGAGCAGAGACCCTGAGAAGAGGCCCCCAAATGCCAGGCGGACAAGTGAGGCTCCCCAAGAGCCTCTTCGGCATACACAGATCCTCTGTGGCTGGGGTCACTGGCCTTAGTGGACCATCGAGTCATTCACTTGTGATTTCATAAGGGTACAGAGAGCTGCACGTGCTGGTGGGTGCTGTCACCTCAGCTACTTGGCTGAGGCAGGAGGATCTTCTGTTCGAAGTCAGCCTGGGCTATACTGTGTGATGCTGTCTCAATATAAAATGAAAAAGTATAGGTAGAGCACTTGCCCAGCGTGCTTGAGACCCTGGCTTCAATCCCCAGCACCACGAAATAAATAAACAGATAAACAGAGAATGAATGAGACATAGGCAGTGGGATTTGCTGGTTGAG